CAATCACTGGCAGAATCTCCCTCTTTAGTTGCTCATTCATTCATTCAATGATCACTTACTGAAACTCCCTCATTCATTCATTCATTCATTCAACAATCACTTGTGGCAGCTCCCTCGTTCATTCATTCACTCCATTCATTCATTCATTCATTCAAAATCACTGGCTGTGGCTCCCTCCTTTGTTGGTTCCTTCATTCCTTCATTCATTCATTCATTCAACAATCACTCACTGCAGCTCCCTCATTCATTCATTCATTCATTCATTTACTCACTCATTCAACAGTCACTTGTCACAGCTCCCTCATTGGTTCATTCGTTCATTCACTCACTCATTCATTCATTCACTCACTCATTCATTCATTCATTCTAAAATCACTGGCCGTGGCTCCTACTCTGGGCAGGGGCTGTTCCAGGCTGGAGCTCCTGTCCTGGGACAGCCAGGAGACAGCGGAGAAGTGACCACACAGAGACATGAGGCAAGTCCAAAGTGTTCAGGGCTATGAACACGTCGCTGTGTAGGGAGTAACTGGGGGGCACCGGGTGAGGTCTCCATCCAGCGTCGTCTGGGAGGCTCCTGGGACTGAGACCTGCCTGGTGAAGAGAAGCCCCCTGCCCACAGGCAGGAATTGTGCTCCAGGCAGAGCGAATGGCAGGTGCAAAGGCTCTGAGGCAGAGAGACAGGTGTCTCAGGGACACAAGTGGCCAGCATGGCAAGACCCAGTGGGGGACGAGGACAGCAGGAGGTGGGACAGGAGGCGTGTCCTGAGTCACAGGTCCCGAGGAGGAGTTAGGATTTCATTCTCAGTGTATCCGGATCTACTGACGTCATTGTGAAGAATGGGGCTGCCTGGGGCAGCACCGGGGGGAGGGGGCGGGAAGCGGGATGTCTCATTTCCTCCCTCGTTTTGCCAACATAAACGTTATTAAAATTTCCCCCAAGCGAGCCATGCGGAGCTGGCTCGTCACATTTAGCGGACACACCGCGCTGGAATGAGGGCACACAAAGGCTCTCGTGCTCACACCGTGTGCAGCTCATTGTGTGTGAGCAGTTGTGATGATGGCACAGTAAATTCTCAGGCGGAGGCTGCAGGGGTCCCCTCTGCAGCCAGTTTTGGGGGCGTCTTCCCTGAAACGTGAACGGCAGCAGCAGGAAACGGGCAATGATGTCAGGACCTCGTGATGCTTAAATCATGACAACACTTGCTTGTCTGTTTGCTTGTTTCAGGAGCTTCTGAACCGTCACCCCCCACGGACATCGTCTCTGGTCCAGCCTGAGAACAGGCTCTGAAGAGCTCATACTTACCATCGCAGAAAAGAAAACGGAACTTACTTGTCCTAAACTCGTGGGTCTGGAAAATCCTGGAGGTGGTGAGGCGATGCCCACATCGTCCCAGGGTCTCCAGCGGGGACTGGAGCCCACCAGGGTCCCCAGGTCCCGGGTGGCAGTGCCTGAATCTGATGGGCTCCGATGGGTGCCCTGCCCACGCCAGGAGCCGTCCTCGGTGGTGGATGAGCCCCTGCGGTGCTCACACCTGACTCACACGGGCCTGAGTGAACACGGGGGGCCAAGCCCGCCCTGAGCTGAGAGCAGGGCCAGAGAACGACCCCTGGACGGGGTCCCTGCGCTGGGCCAGCGGAGGGGCAGACGTCCACGTGGCCCCCCACCACGAGCCCAGCCCACATCGGCGCCAGGTCGTCCTCCCGGGGCCTGGTTTCTCCTCTGCCCCTCCCAGGGACCCCCAGGACATGACTCCGCCGGGGACAGTCCTGCCTCCCGCATCCCTTGGGCCCTGTCCCGTGCTTTACATTGGAAACAGATGCCCCAGCAGAGTGACGGGACACGGTGGCCAGTGAGGACCTGAGCCAGGGTCTGTGGTGGGGAATTCGTGTGTCGAGCCAGCTGGGCTGTGGTGCCCAGATCCAGGGTTGATGTTTCCGTGAGGGGGTTTCTGGATGAGGCTGGCTGTGAAGTATCAGTAAAGCGGGTTGCCCCCATGATGTGGGTGGGCCTCGTCCAATCAGGGGACGGCCTGAGTGTCTCAGGGGTGGGCAGGATGCAGAGAGGTGGGAAAAGCCCCCCACCACGACCCTCTCTGGTCGGCTTCTCCAGGGTGTGGCACCCCTCTGTCACCCACCAAAACCCCAAGTTCTCCTCCGTTTCTCCTGAGGCCTCTCCCCGCAGGGACGAGCTCCTCTGTGAGTGCGGGGTCCCGGGGAGGCTCCCGGATGCCACGCGTCCCGGTGCCGGCCCCAGGGGCCCCACTCAGACGCACAGGGTGAAGGTCCCTGTGTCTCTGGGTCTGAGGACGGCTGTGACTCCGTGTCCGGCTGTGCGGGCACAGAGCGTCTCTGAGGCTTGCGGTATTTTTACAAAAACTCCTCCCCAAAATTTATGAGCCTGAGAGCAACACATTCATTTCTGTGACACAGGATGAAATAAGGGGACATTTTTCACGTTTCTGTTTTAATTCGTTGGGAGCCACGTGCGTGACTCCAGCCTGTCTGAAGGTTTTAATTCATGAATTTGTTTTCAAATAGCGTGTGATTGGTAGGAGAGTGGGGGAGGGTGCCCTCCTGAGAAAACCGTGGGGACTATTCCCACTTGTGTCTGAACGGCCCCCAAGACAGAGGGGGGACAGGGGGTGCCGTCCTGGGCAGAGAGGCTCCCAGCTTCTCTGCTCACCTGTCACCACAGACCTGGGCTCAGCGCTGCCTTGACTCGAAGGGCTGCCGGGAAGGGGGATGCCCTCGGCCAGGGGAGGGGCAGCCTGGTCAGGGGACTCCTAGGGCCTCCCCCCCCCCCCCGCCGACGTCCTGCGGGAACCGTGTCCACAGCCGGCAGGCCTGGGGCCCCTTGGAGTTCTCAGCACAGGAGTAGGTGCTGGAAGTGTCCCGGGATGTCCCCGCCCCATGTCCCAAGAGCCTCCAGTCACCCCCATCCTCAGGCCCCTTCGCCTCCCCGGGGCTCCAATCAGCCCCAAACCGCAGAGCTTTCCCCCAACGACCTACAGGGGCCCCCGCAGAGCCCGCAGAGCAGGTCCTCGGGGAGTGGGCTGACCAGGGATAGGAGCCCAGCTCCCTGGGGCTCTGTCAGGGCTGATGGACGAGTGGGGCGCAAATGCCCCTCACTGCCCAGGACACATGCTCTGCCTTCAGTCACACTGGCTTTGGAGGAATGTGCCGTCCTGGGACCAGGACAGGGGTCCGGGCTGCTGGGGAGGGAAGATCCCCCAGTGCAGGGCTGCCCTGCCCAGACCTGGATGCGGACCCCCTGCTGAGCCCCTGCAGGAGGGGGGCAGGTGAGCAGAGGCTCCGCCCACCTTCCTCTGTGCTGCCCCCACTAAGTGCCACATCTCGGACCTGCAGAGTGCCTGCTGTGCCCTGTGGGTTCTTCGGACCCCCACCCCCACCCCTCGTGCACACTGGAAAGAGCTCCAATGCCCCCACCCCCCCAGCAGCGATGCAGCCCCACCCCACCCCCAGCAGCAATGCTCCCCCCACCTCTGGGCAAAAATCAATAGGCTGGTTACAGATCTCTCCAGCTTGACTCCATCCTGGGCAATGTGTTAAAATGGAGATTCTTCCAGGAACATTATTTTATTTAGACTTTCTTTCTCCTGCCGAGTCTCTGGTTTTACAAAGCTTTGTCCCGAGCTCAGTTTAGTAGAGAAATCTCCACTGGTTGCTGGAGGGAGCAGAGCAGACACGCGGGAGAGAAAGCGAGTTTCAGAGCCTCCGGATGGACTGCACACCAAGCAGTGGAAACGGCACAGAGAAGTGAAAAGGCAACGGGCAGATCAGCAGTGACACTTGCTTGGCATTTTACCAGACAAGGTGAGGGACGTGCGCTGTCTGCGGAGCCCCCACACCCAACCCCACGCACAGGGAGAACCTGCCGGAAAAGTCTGCAGGCGTAGGTAGCAGGCCCTCGTGGAAGATGACAGAATGCAACCGAACGCAAGAAAAGGGGCCCCGCCTTCTTAATAATCAGCGGGCTCTGCCCTCTCTGCCCTCCCCATCCACACTTAGGTGCCTGCAGTGTAGACAGCAGCTTGGGACTCCAGCCCCACCGCCCTTGCAGTGGCAGCCACAAACTTCCCAGGAGGTGGGCACGTCGGTGGCTCAGTAACGAAGCGATTCAGCACCTGCCCTCTGATGTCTATTCCTGACTGCCCTTAGTCAAGTGCAGTGTGAATACCACCGGTCCTGGGGCTACTGCAGGAAACTGGGTCCGTGGTTAATGAGTCTTCTCAGGATGCTGGATCAGTCGGGCCTGCAGTACAGGGTCAGGGGACCCACAGTGTCCCCTCCTTGCCTAGCGGACGTTCATGCCCCCTGTGGTGGACTCCTGCTGAGGAGAAGGTGGGAAGAGAGCACAGCTCCTGTCTTATAAAGATGTATCCAGGGCAAGAGGGACGGCTGCTGGGTGAGGGAAAGCTCCATGTCACTAGGAGTATGAGATATTAATAATAATAATGGTAGTAGTAATAGTTACACCTTATGTTCCATATCCTCCCACAACTCCATCACTTCTCCTCCTCTCGCTAGCAGGAGGCCTCATCATCCCCCTCATGATCATCATCTCCATCATCACCATCATCATCATCACCATCATCACCATCAACATCATCACCATCATCACCATCACCATCATCATCATCAACATCATCATCATCACTACCATCACCATCATCATCATCACCATCATCACCATCATCACCACCACCACCATCATCACCATCATCATCATCATCACCATCATCATCATCACCACCACCATCATCATCATCATCATCACCATCACCATCATCATCACCATCATCATCACCATCATCATCATCACCATCATCATCATCACCATCATCATCACCATCACCATCATCATCATCACCACCATCATCATCATCATCACCATCATCACCATCATCACCATCATCATCATCATCCTCATCATCATCATCACCACCATCATCATCACCATCATCTTCACCATCATCATCATCACCACCATCATCATCATCATCACCATCATCACCATCATCACCATCATTGTCACGTCACCATCACCATCACTATCATCTGTGTTTCACGACTGAAGAAGCCCAGGCACAGGGAGTTAAGTGGTCACCACATGATAAACAATTACATTGCTCCAAACCCTACAAAATCCCCCATCTGTTTGGTTCTCCTGGGCCAAGAAGAGTAGTGGTGACCCCAGGCTGACTGGCCTCATGTGGCTAGGGGAGTGGAAGAATGGGAGGAAGGGCTCACCTCCATCCTTTCAGGGCATGACCTGGAAGTTCCTCCCATGACCTCTGCTCACAGTGCGTTGGCCAGGACCTGGTCACATGGCCACCTGAGGCTGCAATGGAGGCTGGGAAATGGAGCCTCTGTTCTGGTCCACCACGTGCCCTGATCCCAGGAGGGGCTCTAATTCCCCGAAGGGGCAGATGTGGAGGGAAGAGGCCTGAGTCTTCATTTCTAAGTTCCTGGTGAGCTGGTTCTCCTGGTCCACAGACCCCGGTCTGAGTAGCAAAGCTTTAGGGGCTCAAACATCCCTGTGTTCTTTCCCCGTGGGGGCCACCTGCTGGGGCCCGTGGGAGGTTCCTATTTGGTCCTGTAGCTCATCAGCACTCGGGGTCCGTTCTGCAAAGCCTTCTGGCTGACCCCTGAGGACAGACCTGCGTGGTTCCCCCAGCTAATTTGTGCAGCATTTCCTGTGGTAGGCTCCCCCTGAGGATGCATTGCTGAGTCGCCTGGTGACTGTGTTTGTTTTCTAGACATTGATCTGACGCGTGTTATGAAAGCACAGAGCTGGCTTCGAAAAGGGGTAATTTCTCCTGTCGATATCAAACACATTCAACGCATCACCAAGCCTGCTCATTACAATTTCAAATGTGCTCCAACACAGGAACCCATAATCCTCGCCAGTCTCTCTGCCTCAGACTTTGGGGGGAACGGATCTGAGTCCCAGCATGGGCATGTGAAGGCACTGAGCCCCGATGTGAGGGCTGAGGACCCCTGTGGCACTCCGGGCAGAGGACCGTATGTCTTCAGTGCGCCGATGGCATGGGCGGGTCAGGGCCACATTGACCAAGGCTGCCATGTCCCATGGGCTGGACCCCTGGCATTTCTCCACTCACCCCCACAAACGTCAGCTAATCTCCCCTGAGGGGAGAACCCTGAGCGTCAATTCTGCCCGCTGCGCTGCTCTGGCTGAGCCGGGGAGGACACACAGTCCTTTCCCGGGATTCAACCGTCCACACGGCAGAAACCATCTCGAAGGACTCACCCACCCGGATCCAGCCTCGGGGCGTCACTGTGAGGTGGGGCAGCTTCCTCCATGCCCCTGCCCCAAGATCACACTATTCCACCCACAGAGGGGCCAAGGCTGTCCGGTCCCAGCAGGTGAGCCAGAACTAAGCAGACTCATCATCCTTTAACCAAACGCTGTAATTTAACCCTGTCATGACATTCAATTCCATTTTTGCCCTCCAGGCTGTTCCTATTTCCGTCAACATTATTGGGAATATCCTAATTCTCACCTCCCCCGCCCGCGTGTGAACCCTCCTCCAGGGTCAATTCTGAGAAGCAGGATTGGTGAACCACAGGGCATGTGTGGTTTCTGCTCTAATGGAGACACCCAGATTGCTCTCCACAAAAGCTATTCAAAGTTAAACATGCTCACCAACAGAATGTAAGAATCCTGTTTTCACACATCTTTGCTAATACTCCATGTAATACTTCTCATATTTGCCAATCAAACAGGTGGGAAAAACCCTTGTTTTAACTTGTTTTCCCTCATTCCTGCTGAGCTGACCATTTAAAATGTTTGTTGGCTGTCTGTAATCTCTTTCCTGTGAAGTGTGAGTTTGAATTCTTTGTCTGAATTTCTGTTGGGTTGCTTATCCTTCTCAGATTACTCTATGAGGGTGATTTCACGCGGTCCATGTGGACCCCTCGCTCCGTGCTGTATGAATGTTTTCTCCTAGCCTGTGAGTAATCTCCTGCCTGTATCTCTAGTCCTATAGAAATGTTAAATTTTGCAGTAGTCAGGCTTCTGTGTTTTTTATTTTACCTTTTTGCATTTTTTTTTCTTGTCCAAGATCTTTTGTCTCTGCAGGTTACATCTTCTTATATTTTTGTCCCATTTTTTTTATAGTTTTGTTTTATAGGTAGGTCTTAAATCCATGTTAAAAATTATTTTTGGAAATGATATGAGGTTGAAGATTAATTTTATTCTATTTTCCCACAATGCTAGACAAGTGTCTCCACACCATTTATTGCCATCAATCCCTTATGGATTGGAAATACCTCCTTTCTTGGCTGTTAATTTCTTACATGCTTCTGTTTGTTTCTGGACTTTTCATTATGTTCTATTGATACATCTACTCTATTTATTTCAACTACACTTATTGTACATATGACATGTTGGTTATATATTTGACACTGGGAGGGAGTCACCGCCTTCCTTTCTTGTCTTTACTGTTCTCGGATTTTCTCTTCAAGATGAACTTGGAATCCATCTGTCATGTCCATGAAACGGTGTTGACGTTGAACGATATAATTTTGAGGCTCTCTGCTTCGAAACAGCAAATATCCGCTTCCTTTTGTCAGGGATATTTTACAGGCACCGTTGTAAACCCTCACCTGTTCACCAGGCTGACTCACATACCTTAAAGGTCTCGCTGCTAGTAGAAAGGGAAACTTACTTTTTCTGTAGGATCTTCTCATGGGTTATGGCTGATCATGAAGACAGCTTTCATTTTTGTATTTTGAATTTTCCTTTAAGTCCTAACGATTTGTGGTATTTACTAATTGTGTTTCCTATGTAGACAATCGTACACTCTGTCAATAGGGATAATCATGTCTCACTTTTCTCAATATTTACACATTTTTTCTTGTCCTTGTGTTATCGAGAATCTCCATGCAATATCGTTCATGCCAGTGACATCAGCCATCTTCACTAGGTTCTTGACTTCAGTGGGACAGCTTCCGATCCTTCTCATGAATATGACAGAAAATGAGTTTCTACAAGTTGTCTGAATGTTGCAAGCTTATAAGACCCTGGTTAGTGTTCCTGGTCAGTGCCTTGAAAGGTTTTGAAAATGATATATCCAATTCCTGAACAGATTACACGGACATTGGGATGAAGTCAACCAGAGCTGTTGCCCAAGCATCCTCCCTATGTTCATAACTCTGGTCACGTAAAGAAGGTGAAGAAGACCTTATCTCTTGGGAAAGTTAACTGAGGAGATGTCCTGGATTACCCGTGAGCTGCCCCAGCCACCATAACTCTCCGGCCAGAGCCATGGGGAAGACAGATGGAAATCTACCCAACATGGATCAGCTCACACCGTCTCTAACCCTCATCGCGGCCCCGAGAGCCATGTGTTTTGAAGTCACTGAGCAGAGGAGGTCCCTGAGTCTCAAGAGGTGTGACACATTTGGCCAAGGCTCGAGGCAAGTGAGATGGGGTGTCGGCCATCCGGGCCACGGTTCTACACCCCCCCTCCCCCACACACAGTGTACAAGGAAGTGAATCGTGTGAGTTACTGACGGCACTCATGGAAAATAAATGGGTGTTGTGAATAAAATAAAATAATTAGCCCTAAACAGAGTTCTCTTAGGTGGCTGGCGCTTTTCGCATACCTAATCCTGTACAAGATCGGCCAAGGGCACTGTGCAGCCGAGAGAAAACATACATCTTCTAGAGGTAATGGGCTTAGCAGCTCCTTTGCCACCACCCCCCATCCCCAGGAGGAGACCCCACACTGAACCTCCACCAAAATATTGGAGAGAATTAGGACAGAAAGGTGGTCCCATGATATTCAATCACAAGCCGGCCTCCTCTTTGGTGAAAGAGTAAGTGACACATTTCAATCTAGCGTTCCAGAGAAACATGACACCAAGTGTTAGGACGTGGATTAAAGGTGAAGCCTGCAGAGTCTTCGGGCTTACACGTGTAAGCCTCACTGCAGATGGGCTGCCTGCCTCAGGAGAATCCAGGGTCCCTGCAAGATGTTCCCATACGTCCACCCTAGTCGCCTGACACCACTCGTGTGCCCCAGGAAGAGAGTCGCTCATGGGCAGCTCGGGAGTTTGTACAGCACAGGACTGCGGGTGGGGAGTTGCCAAAGCCTTTGTCGCAGTGAGCGCCCTGTATGGACTCATGTCTGGTCCTTACAGGAGTATGATACAGAGAAGGACCAATGTCAGGCCCCATCCTCCACAGAGAGGGCTCCCAGGACCAAACTATTGGCAGAAAAAGGTGCCCCAGCCCCCAGACTCCAGGTCTGAGTGAGGTGCAAGCCTTGGAAAGCACAGGGGAGAAGCCGTGATGGAAGAGCCCACTTCCCCCAGGGGGCGTCGTGGTGACGTCGGCCAGGTGTGCCTGGTTCTCACCTTCTGCATGGAAGGACTGCGCTCCAGGTCCCTTGTGGTTGGGCGGGGACAGTGACCGGTTCTGGTCGAGGAGTTGCGAGTGGAAATGACACGTGCCATGTCTAATCAGAGCATTTAATTGCCGATGCAAGACCCCCCCAATAGACCCCCCCAAGGACCGTCTTTCCTGCTGGCGCAGCAGCTGGCAGCATTCAACATGGCGCTGCTCCCTGCACGTGACCCTGATGGCACGTCTCACGAGCGATGAATAAGCCACAGACCTGTCGTTCCTGTAGCCATCTGGCCTCTTCTGACCATCACAGCTTTAGTTCTTTTCCTCTTGTTTGCACAGCAGGACGGAGCATTTCCTTGCACACAGTGGGAGCTTGATTAAGATGGATGGATGGATGGATGGATGGATGGTGTGATGGTGTGATGGTGTGACGGTGCCATAGCACTAACTCAGCAGTGGCCACCCCCTGGTCCTGAAAATCTGGGCCCTGACAGAACTTGGAACTTCCTCCACTCATATTATGTACATGGATGCCATGCTGCTTTTAAGGTGTCATCAGGTACGCAGGACCAGCCCTGGACAGGGCACATAGTTATCGCCAGTTTGGGTGGTGCTGGGCAGAAGAAGACCCAGCTCCTGACCAGTAGTGTCTTGTTTTCCTCTATCTAGTAGCCTTCAGCCCTTAGAGAGCCATTCTTATGAGCTAAGCGTTGACTTGTTTGGGTTTTATGATAAACCATGCAGCCACGCCCAGCTCAGGGTGCAGGAGCGTGTTGGCTCCTTTCCTCCGGGAAAAACGTGACACAGTGCCCGAGCCCAGGCTGCCTGAGACCCGGGAAGAGGAAGGCGCATGTTCAAAAGGAAGGGGAACCAAAGACATTGAGGTGACTCCTCGAAGTTGACGGTGTACTTGTGTGAGTGTGCATGTGTGTGCATGTGTGTAAGTGTGCATGCATGGGTGTTTGTGTGAGTGGGGATGTGTGTGAGTGTGTGTGCATGGGTATTTGCATGAGTGTGCATGTAGTGTGTGTGTGTGTGTGTGTGTGCATGGGTGTTTGTGTGGGTGTGTATTTATGAATGTGTATGTTTTTGTGTGAGTGTGCTTGTGTGCATTTATATTTGTGCATTTATGTGTATGTGTGCATGAGTGTGCATGTGTGCCCAGGGGTGTGTGTTTGTATGTGTATGTGTGAACGTGTGTGTACATGTGCATGGGTGTTTGTGTGTATGTGTGTACATATGTGTATGAATGTGTATGTGTGAGTGTGCATGCATGGGTGTTTACATGAATGTGCATGTGCATTTGCGTGAGTGTACATGTGAGTGGATGTGTTTGTGTTCTTGTGTGCATTTGTGTTTGTATGTGTATGTGTGTGTGAGTGTGCCCAGGGGTATGTGTTTGTATGTGTATATGTGCTTGTGCGTGCATGTGTGTTTGTGTGTGTGCATGTGTATATTTGTGTGAGTGTGTGTGCACAGGTGGTTTGTGTATGTGCGTGCATATGTGTATGAATGTGTATGTGTGAGTGTGCATGGGTGTGTGTATGTGTATTGTGCTGTGTGTGCATGTGTCTTTGTACATGTGTGAGCATGCACATGTGTGTTTGTGTGAGTGTGTGTACCTGTGCATGGGTGTTTGTGTGTATGTGTGTGCATATGTGTATGAATGTGTATATGTGAGTGTGCACGGGTGTGTGTTTGTATGTGTATTTGTATGTGTGTTTGTGTGTGAGTGTGCGTGTGTGTGTTTGCTCATCTTTCCTCCCAAAGGTCAGGGGTCACACACTTTGGCTCGCCTTGTGACAGAAACATGCTGTTCATAGAGGTGGTTGACACTGTTTACCCCTCTGTAGCCCATGAAAATATGTAAAAGGGTTTCAAGCAAGCCATCCATGTACACAAGAAAGCAGATGAAAAATCACAAAGGAGACCTGTGAGTGCAATTTGGAAATGCCATTATGAAAAAGAACAACTTGCAAGTGTCTTAGGAAGACCATTAAAAGCAGAGGCTTAATAACTGTGCTTGTTGTCACTGGCCGCATAGGAGGCAGATGGCACTAAAAGAAAGAGCTGGATGAGAATCTCAGTCCCACCACCTAGCGGGCGAATCAGCATGGAAAATTAACTTTTTCTCTCTGAATATCAATCACTTGTAAAATTGAGGCACTTCGCAATGATGTTTTAAGAACGAAACGGGATCTCACTCGTAAAAACGCTGGGTCAGGGGCACGTGCAGGTGCTCGGTAATGTCTCACTCGTGCAGCCACTGTTTATCATCCAGTGGCCCCAGAACAGACACCACAGAAGAGGCGTCTCCCAACCACGTAATTGCAACCCTCTCAACAGAGCCTTCTCCTCACTGTGGTAATTGGCCTGAGCCAGACTGCTGACATCACTGCACCAAATGGAGAACTCTAGACTCGAACCAAGAGGGAAGGACATTACCTATTATGTGCTCGTGCATTATGTTGGAAGTGTGAATCTCTACAGAAGTCAGTGCCTGGGGTCCATGGGGGAGAGCCAGTGTGAGGTACAGAATATCGACATTTGCACATAGAAAGAAGCAGAAGATTGCATGCATGTGGCCGAGAGAGAGAGAGAGACACACACACACATGCAGAGAAACATGGTTGCTATCTGACACTATGACTAAGTACTAACACATTTTTCTCCTTTCCTTGAGGCTAATACTCCTCATGGATGACCCTCTTCCAAAGCTCCAGTAACAACAATAAGTCTTAGGTTAACCTTCATGGAGACGTGGGATCGTGATAGGGAACTAGGCGTAACATGAAGGTGTCCTGTTAACACTTCTCAACCCCAGACTCCGCAGCGAGCTCCCAGGACGCCAGTTCCTGACAAAACCGGTTACTTCCTAAATTTACCAGCTAGATGGTGACAGCATTGTAATATGTGTCACCTCATCTTTAGTATTCTATACTTAATGTTGACTCACGATTGTCTCTAACCCTGCAGATTCAGACCCCACCTTACGTCTCTTTGCGAGCCCCTGAATGTCCGCCCAGCACAGTGTTATGATCGGGAGGAGTGGATAAACGTTTGCTGAGCGGGTTGATAACCACATCAGCATTGTTCCCACCGCCACGGATCTTCAGCCTGCAGACTTCTGAGTGAATCTGGTGATGTGCTGTGTCTCAGAATCTGCACTGTCTCTGAGGACATGCAGCATAAAGCACTATCTCCCCAGGCTTCAGCTCAGAAGCATCATTTTAGTCAGAAAATCTCTCCATCCTGTATTTTCAAGCTCTTACCGGTTGGATTTAGGGCATGAAGGAAACGCTAAAACAGTAGTCAGTTCTGCTATTGGATCCCCGCACGTGTCCATCTGTGGGCTGAGGGTACTGTCCCCACCCTGGTGTCCCGGCGGCGTTCAGCACCCTGGACAGCACCAACGGCCAACCTGGCCCTGAAAGCTACTTGGTCCTGGACAGAACTGCTGAGGGCGATTCCACCTGGGGGGGAGGGGAACAGGGGTGAAGTCTGCAGGTGAGTGAGGGAACTTTTGAGGGGCTTCTGGGAGGGCAGAGAGGGCTCTGGGGGGGGGGGGGAGTGGCTGAAGGCCACCATCTGGGGAACCTCATGTAACATACACTTTGGGGGGCTCATCCCTGATTACCCAGGGCACAACTTGGCTGAGGTCAGGGATCTTCCACGTGTGTGGGCGGATTTCTTCACGGTTCACTGCCCCTCTCCCCTGGTGGCCATCTCATAGGTAGGCCCTTCAGGACCTAAATATGCACTGAGCGATCTTTACCTGACAAGGACAGAGGAGAAGAAACATTACCTCCCAACATAGGGCAGAGAATTCTGGAGACAAACACCTGTCTCCTGCAAGACTCCAGGAGTCTCTCCCCTCTTCACTGCCCTTCTGAGGGCCATGGCAGGAACATTAACGCAGCTCCACTTCCTGTAGCCTCATTGCTTCTGGGACCTGCACCCTCAGCCCAGTGCTCATTCCTGGCAGGCAATCACTCTGCTGGGCCTCATCCTACCTCCTGCATCTCCTCTCCGAACACATGTGCACATGCATAATTGTTGCTGTATTTATTTGCTTTTTTTTTCCCACCTGCAGTCTGTTTTAATTAGAAAGTTAGCCTTGGGCCAAGCATAACATATACCTATTTTGTTTGACTGCTTTTGAAAACTAAACCACCTAGAACCCACCCCCACCCCCCCCCCCGCCCCAGCTCATTAGCCTGCCA